ATGGCCCTAACCAGGCTGGTCGACTTGAGAATGGAAAGGAATGGCCCTAACTAGGTTGTTCGACTTGAGAATGGAAAGGAATGGCCCTAACCAGGCTGTTCGATTTCAGAATGGAAAAGAATGACCCTAACCAGGTTGTTCGGAAATGGCCCCTGACAAGGGTCATTTCTTTTGAAATAGGCACTGGGGTCCCCTGCATAAGTGATTGAGAAAGGTTGATTGAGAATGAGCTGGAATGAGCAATGTGAGATGAAAAAGGCCGGTGGGTCGGTCATTGAAATAGCCACGAGAATGGACGAGAAAGATTGATGCCTTGAAATGTGAAAGGCAGGATAAAGAGAGGACGAGTGTTGAGTCGAGAAGGGCATGGACCGTCAGGACGGTCATAAGGATAGGATATTGGAATGCGAAAGTTGAGAATTGAAGGTGGGCCGACGGGTCGGCCTTGAAAGATTGCTATTAAGAAAGCGACCGCTAGAGCGGGCACAAGGGGTGGCTTTGTTGATGAGAGGTTGTCGGACCAGCCATGAGAATCAGTCGTGAGAAAGGACTGGAAATAGCATTGGATTGAGTGATTGAGGATTGGATATTGCATTGCATAGTCAGAGGACCCTAGGCAATTTGATAAAAGGTCGTCGGGCCGACCATGGAAATAGCAAGAGATTGAGTTTTCCTTTCTTTCTAGTCTCAGGCCTCAACGTAAGGGGGATAGCCATGCATGCACCGCAGCCCCAGGACCTCTACCCGCCAAGGGAAAGTCTCAGGGCGACGTATCCCTCACAAGGAAGGATAAGGGTTGAAGGACCAAGGCATCTTTCGCTTTGATCGATGCTGGCCGTCCAGAACTAACTCCGACAACGAGCTCTAGTCGGAGAGTTCAAATTGCGCCTCATGTTGAGAACCTAAACGTCAAGGGCGTGGAGCCAAACGGGCGAGAGAGCCATTCTTTTCCTAAGTCTCATTATTTTTCCCCAACCACACGCCACGCCGTAGAGGGGCGACGCGATCGTTTGGAATGGACCAAGGCTGCTCGCATTAAGTTGAGCGGCACTGTCCAGAGGGAGGGGTCGGGCGTGGTACTGGGTGGAAGCCACAACCACCACAAGGCGAGTGACACCGTCCTGCCGGATCATTACAACCGTTCCGGGACTAACCGCGAGGTCTTCGTAATTGCACTCGCAGACTAATAGAGAGCCCCAATTCTCTTGAAAGGAAGAGGCCGGATCCAAGAAAACACTACTCGGGAGGAACGATTCGCGAGAAAGCTTTTACGACAAGACGGGGTCTTGGGAGGCTTGGACTGGACCTACCTGCCAGATGTGAGGTGGTACCTCGGTGATGACGCCCGTCTCGTAAGCGGCAAAAGGTCGGACTGAGTAGAAGGATGAGGTGTTACCTACCGAGGAAGGATCGATCACCCTTCCTTCTAGGAGCAGGTGGGCCATTGTTCTTGACTCAGTTGGTGGGCCAAGGTCTGCGTACCTCCGAGTGAGAATCAGTCATGCGATGGGAACATCGCATTTTGAGTGGGGGGAAGGTGTGCCATCTACCGATGAAAAAGCGTGCAAAAGAGAAGGTTACCATAAGCTCAAGAAATTGTGTAATTGACTTTGCGCAGGTTTGAGAGAAGGTCTGGCAAGATGTCCAGAAGAGGAAAGAAATTGTGTAATTGACTTTGCGCAGACTTGAGAGAAGGTCTGGCAAGATGTCAGGAAGAAAAATGCTTGTGTAATTGATTTTGCGCAGGCTTGAGAAAAGGTCTGGCAAGATGTTCAGAAGAGAAAAGAAATTGTGTAATTGACTTTGCGCAGGCTTGAGAGAAGGTCTGGTAAGATGTCCAGAAGAAAAATGCTTGTGTAATTTGATTTTGCGCAGGCTTGAGAAAAGACCTGGCAAGATGTCCAGAAGAAAAATGCTTGTGTAATTGACGTTGCGCAGGCTTGAGAAAAGGCCTGGCAAGATGTCCAGAAGAGAAAAAAAATTGTGTAATCGACTTTGCGCAGGCTTGAGAGAAGGTCTGGCAAGATGTTCAGAAGAAAAATGCTTGTGTAATTGATTTTGCGCAGGCTTGAGAAAAGGCCTGGCAATATATCTAGAAGAAAAATGCTTGTGTAATTGACGTTGCGCAGGTCTTGAGAAAAGGCCTGGCAAGATTTCCAAAAGAAAAATGCTTGTGTAATCGCGCAGGCTTGAGAAAAGGCCTGGCAAGATGTCCAAAAGAAAAATGCTTGTGTAATTGACTTTGCGTAGGCTTGAGAAAAAGGTCTGGCAAGATGTCCAGAAGAAAAATGCTTGTGTAATTGATTTTGCGCAGGCTTGAGAAAAGGTCTGGCAAGATGTCCAGAAGAGAGATGTACGTGTAATTGGCGGTTGCATGGGCTTGAGAAAGGTCTGGCAAGATGACCAGAAAAAAAATGCTTGGGGAATGGACTGGGTAACTTGCATGTAAAATTGATTGAGCTTGGAAGGTCCGATGAGGGTGACATGCATGTAAAATCGGCAGGGCTAGGGAAAAGCCAGACATAATGACCCGGAAGAAATACGTGTAGATTGGGTTGGGCTTGAGAGTGAGGAAAGGGGTGACGAGAGGCATGGATTACACAGGCCGAAGAAGCAAGTTGAAGAGGCATTAAGGGTGACGGAAGCCAACAAAAGGGACCTGGTTGGCACGGGATGGAAGGAGGATCAACCAAAAGGGTGCTCGGGATGGCAAAGCTCGGGGGGGAAGCAGGCGCAACGAAAATAGGAAAGTTGGAAAGGGGTTTGATGTACTACGGGTGATGAACGAGACGAAAGGGGTTTGATGTTCTAAGAGTGATGAATGAGACATGAGAAGCCTGAAGGACAAAGAAAGCTTGAACCTACACACCTCTTTCCGCTCCAAGGCCGGAAACTAGAATAAACCCAATAAAGGAACAAGAAAAGACAGAACGGACCCTGACAAACTAACCACCCATGACATTTCACCCCCCTCTCCCGTCTATCCCTCCAAAACCCACTGACAAGAGATTGGTGCACGATGAGGACATCACGAATGAGTGGGGGGAATGTGTTGGGACTGGTGGGTCCCGAATAACTTCCCATCACTCGAGAGACTGGATATAGACAAATTGTGCACGATAGAGAAATCTGGAGTAAGGAGGAAAGAGAGAGAAAAGACAAAGGATTAGGCCGCGGGAGGGAGTGATGCCCTGGGATGAGAACCGCAGGAGGAGAGAATCAGCGACGGTAAGCGAGTAAGCGCAAGAACAGGGGCACATAGAACATAGCATGAGGCCGGGAGGGCCGTTGGAATTCAACAAGACAAAGACCAAGGAACCCTTGTGCCAACAAACGCGGCACCGTAGCGACGAAAGAATGAGGAAGTCGAGAGATGGACGGCCCCAGAGGCAGTGGGAAGCTAGAGAATAAGGGCCCAACCTGGGGGCCACCTACGAAGCCTCGGGTTGGAGGCCCCGCGACCGCGCGCAAGGCGCGAGAAAAGACAAGGGAGAGGGGTCACCGTGGGGCGGAAAACGCCCAAGGAACGTGGGACACCTTGGGGAAAGGCACCCGGGGCCACGTGGGACTAAGTAAAAATAATGGCATCCGGGACAAAGTGTCGGGGACCACCGGCGGGATCAAGTGTCGGGGACCACCGGCAGGACCAAGTGTCGGGAACCACCGGCAGGACTAAGTGTCGGGGACCACCGGCGGGACTAAGTGTCGGGGGCCACCGACGGGACGAGTGGCGGGGACATACGGAGGTCTCAAGAGAAAACAGCGGCACCACATGAGAAAAAAATAATAAAGACAAGGTGCACCGTCACGATCAAGATCTTGACGGCCAAAAGTATTAGCACCACGAGTGCAAGCACTAGCGGTGGCAAGCGGAAAGGCCAAAAGGAAAAGGAAAAACAAAGAAACACGGAGTGGGAGGCATGGGAGCAGTCCGAAAAATCTCGGATCAGCCTCCCTCAAGAAAATGGAGTCAAAAGAGACCCCATGAGAAAAATAGGCCTCCAGGGGAAAATCGGAACAAGAGGGGCCACTGTGGGAGAAAGATAGAGGTAAAAGGAAGATCCCATGGGCATGGGAAGGCCACCATTGTAGTCCAAGATATAACGGACTGCACCTTGGGCATAGGAAGGGCCAAAACTAAAAGGAAGGAGCTAGAAAAGGGCCTTAACGGCCAATTGACACTTGACATGCTAGGAAAAAGAAAGAAAAGAAAAGAAAATGTGGGCGAATGAGTCAAAAAGAGTGAGAGGGAGTGAGTGAGTTGGCCGTCAGTAGGGACTGCCACAAGTAGGAACTGGCAGGTCCCTACTGTCCAAGAAAGGAGGAAAAAAGGAAATGAAAAGAAAAGAGAAAAAGGCCTTAACGGTAAAAAACGGCCACTTGGGGAGATACATCTGTGACCAGATTCATTCTGGAACATGGCGGTTGCAATGGACTTTGATTTTCTTTGATTTTGCAGAGAAAAATCAAAGAAAATCAAGGCCCCATGCAACCGAAATAAAACGGATTACATGGGGGAGGAGAAACACATGTTCTAGGTGCATCCGGAGTCAAAATTGAGTCTGGATGCACTTGGGGGAGTAAAAGTACGCGTGATGCTTGTCCTCGCTGATGTGGTGTAGCCGCAACTTGAGCTCGAACTTGCGGAACCACGAAATCGGGTTTGTCTTGGTCGAATTGCAGAAGATCTCCTAATCATCGAACCTTGGAGTCGTCTCGAGCGGTGCCGAACTCGGGTTGGCGGCGGCAGCACATATCTGCCGTTCCAATTGTTGCGTGGCTGTTTGCTGTAGCTGCGTGTCGTCCTTGAAGGCTCCGACGTCGATCTCCAATGCATTGAGGCGATCGGAGGTGTTGTAGGAGCTGGCATCGGGGGCGGCGACGGGTCGTTGCTCCAACTGCTGGAGGCGGCTGTTGACTTGGTTAAAGACCTGATTGTGCATCTGAACCGCGTCGTCGAGGTTGTGGATTTCCCCCTGCTGTGCAATGCACGTGGCCAGGAGGTCTGTGAGATAGGAGAGGAGTAGAGCGATCTTGTTTTCCCTCTCTTCCATCTTACCATTCTCGGCCTTGGCATAGGAAGAATGCTCCAGGTCCAGACCATACACAAACGAAGAGGAGGGGATCAGACGAGGAAGAAGGGGGGGAGATGGGAATGTCGTCAACAGCAAGTCTTCGTTACAAGTCCCAGATAATCCCTCGTCAACTGTCTGAAGCCCAATGTCGAGTCTGGACCAATCTCACCAATCCCGCTCTCTCGTAGTCTGCTGATGCAGTGAAGTCAGGTAGCGAGAGGGTGAGAGGAAGATGGTGGATTGAGAAGAGGAAGAAGAACTCTCTCTCTCTCTCTCTGTCTTATGTGCCAAGTACTAACCTGTGAAGATGGCGCTGTGCTGCAGGTACCTATATATATGTGTACATATATACCCCTCACTGTTCGAGGAGTGATTTATGCGATTGTTCATTTACCTTCTGGTCGTTTTTATGTTGGACAGACGATGCATTCTGCACACCAAAGGCTGCAAGAGCATTGGCATACACGACACTCTTCTGCTACTTTTCACCATCGCCATTTCTACCGCACAATGAGTGGGCAACCAGCATTCAACTTCGCAGCTTGGCCTCTGGAATGCATCGATCCTACCCTGTATCATACGTCTGGAGGTCTTGTTGATCATGGCCTCTTTCGGAGGGCTGCTGCACCCCGCG